GCAGCGAGCCGAGATCGCGCCACTGCACTCCAGCCTGGGCAACAGAGCGAGACTCCGTCTCAAAAAAAAAAAAAAAAGGACTGAAGTTCTGACACATGTTGCAACATGGATGATCCCCATAAACTTTATGCTAAGCCAAAGAAGCCAAAAAGAAAAGGTCACAAAGTATATGATTTCTAATTTATGGGAAACATTCAGAACATGTAAGTCCATGGAGACAGAAAGCAGATTGCGGCTGCCAGAGACTGGGGTAGGGAGGCTGGGGAGTGACTGCTTAACGGAGGGTTTCCCTCTGGGATGATGAAAACGTGTTGGAACTAGACACAGATGGTGAGGCCCAACACTGCAAACGCACTACATGTTACTGAATTACACACTTTCAAATGGTTAATGGCTAATGTTACATGAATTGTACCTACTTTTTTAAAAAAAAAAAAAACCTACAGATGACATCATATCTCATGGTGAGAAACGACATTTTCCTCCTGAGGTTGAGAACAAGGAGGGGAGAGGGAAAGCTACAGCACCAGGGCTGCCGGGTGCTCGGGAAGGCGACGACAGAATCCTGTGTTGAGTCTGTCCTCGTGGGACGCTGTCACAGCAGGGTGACGGGGTGGGAAGCCCACTAGAACAGGCTTAAGAGTGGCCAGGTTGACTGCTGGCTTTTAGAGGTGGGGTCACAGCCGCTCTGCATCTTCTCTTAAAATCACTCAAACCCAAGAGAATGAGAAATGAAAACTGCACCTGCAAATCTTGCCAGACGAAGTGCTAAGGCAGCACAGGGACAAGGAGCCCCGGGGAGAGGGAGGCGGAGAAGCCTTTTCGTGCCCAGCCTCACAGCCCACCTCTAAAACCCCGAAAGGCCCAAGCACTGAGACACCAGCAAAGAAAGGGAGTGAGGCCGAAAGCAGGGGGCTTCTCAATGGTCTAAATAGGGACAGTCAGACCCCCAGCCACTCAGAGGAGGACTATCCTGACCCCTGAGCAGGGATGCCCTGGTAAAAGGACACCACGGGTTCCATATGAGAAGAGGGCAGGGAACATGGTGACACCAGAGAGCACCTGTCTGCTGAGCCCTGGGGCCCCTATCCCCACCCCACACCTCCCCCAGACTCAGCACCCACCCCCAGGGCAGGAGGCTAGAGAAACGGAACTCTCTCAGCTCTGGGGATGCTTGTTCCTGCCTCATGAGGCAGCCTATGCTGACTGATACACACTGCACAAGGGTTCACCTAAATGATGACATAACCCTATGTATTAGAGTTAGGGTTAGGGGTAGATGGAGCAGCTCTCAGGAGGGAAATCTATGAGTTCAACCATCTTGACCACAACAGGAGACTAAGAAATAGTAGCATGCCCATATTCTTTACAAACGTGGAGATAAATCCAGAGGAAGAAGCGACAACAGCTGGAAGTGGTAATCTACGGGGAGTGGGCAGGGCAGGGGCTGTGGGGAGATGGTCTGGGAGGCCAGCGGTCTGCTATTTTTTTCATAAAACCTATAAAACTCTTTGACGTCTTAAAATACGTGTATGTATCACGCTGACAACATAAAAACTGTGTCTGAAAAGTAGACTAAGCTTTTGAGGTGCAAAGCGGGCGAGGGTGGGTGGTCTGGATAAGCATCCCAAGGCACAGGCCGGTCCTAGCTGCCTGGTTCCCCCAGCGTCCTGCACAGGGCGTAGTGTGGTGACTGAGACGTGGCCAAGGCTCTGAATAACAGTTCTACCACATGGGCAACAACCTCAGCTTCCTCACCCCAGTGACCATGAAGGGAGTGACCGCGGCTTCCTCAGCACAGTGCATGGTGCGTGTGGGATAAATCCTGCTGCCCCTGCTTCTAAGGTCTCACCTAATTAACCTGAAGGACCTGCAGTGTTCTGGGTTGAGAGGCAGGAGCAGGACAGGCTGGGCAGGTTAGAATGTCCCCTGAGAGAGGGTGTAGAGCAGGACGGTGCTGAGCCAGCTCCTGGAACAGGGTCTCGGTTACAGATGGAAACCATGGGGAAGCCGGTGGGAGCAGGGTCGTCGAGGGAGACCAGTGTGTCGGAACAGGCAGGTGGAACATGGCTCAGACAGCCCACTAAAGGACAGAGCATGGCTGTGACACAGCTGTGGCCCCACTGTGCACTGCACTGAGATATTCCACTGGGCACAGGGCTCCTGCAGGACAACTGGCAGCTGTTGAAGATGCTCCTGCCTCTGCAGGAGGGGCTGAGCCGCTCCCACAACCAGACCCTGCAGGCAGCTCGAGTATGTGTCCCCCACCATCGCCTTGTGGGGACTAACTGTGTGACCACCAGTGTCTTGGGCTGCCCTGCTGCCGTCCCTGGGGAGGGCCCTGCCCACACTGGCAGTGCCTGGGACTGGCCACCTGGTTGTCAAGGCAAGCAGCCTGGGGTGCTGAACAATTTAGGAATTGTTATTGCCAGGTCGAGCGGAAAGAACCTGCCCACTTCCTGCCGGCCCCTCCTCCTGGGTCCCTGGGAAGAACTGACCACCGGGATGCCCCGGGCCCATCTGCACCCCATGGGGAAGGGAGGCTGCCCAAGGAAGCAGCACAGCTCCACCAGGAGGACGGAGGCCTCAGTGCAGCTGGGAAAAGGGACCTGGGGCGTCCCAGAGACAGGATCTCAGAGGTGAGACGGACGGGTTCACAGGGAATGCAATCTGCTCCTGGCAACTGGTCCCCTGTAAATGTCTGTTCTTCCCCTTTCACCTCAAAATAAATGTAAGTGTATGTGAAGTCTGTGAAAGCAGAAAGCAAAAATATCTAGCGTAGCTGTGTTTAAGCTTTTGTTAGAGAAAGGTGAGCGCCACGGTGGCTATAACTCTTCTTACGGCCCCCAATTAGCACATCAGCCCAGACTCATGCATGAATGCCACATTAAGTGCAGTGGGGATCCTGACGGGTTCTACTCACTCAGAATCTCCAGACACAGGAAGAGGCTCACCCCGTCTGTCCACGGGACAGTCCTGGCCTGTTGGTGGTTTGTCCACAGGAGATTCGGCAATGCGTAAATATTCAGGAGACTGTAAAGAAAAAGAACACAAACAAATGAAGCATCCACCGGATGAGAAAGGAAACTGCTGATTCACCCACAGAGGAGCAGGTGTGGATGGCAACGATGGGCCACACGTGCTTATGGGAGGCTAACAGCTCCCTTTCCAGAATCTCTAGAGTAGCTGGAACTCCAAGGCTCTCCAGAGCGGCCGAATATCGGAAAAACCAAGTCACAGGTTGACCGTGATTCTCCCCCAAGTCTTCAAGTGAACTTTCGTGTTTATTCCCAAAGGACAGTGAGTACAGACAACTAATGATTTCGGGCCACAGGTAGCAGAGCTGCATGCTAAGCTTGTGGAGAATACATTTTTCAAGCCCTTCTGTAGGAAGATAAGGGAAATCTGGTGCCATTAATATTTCAGGTTTCATTTGCTCTGACAGGAAACGAAACACATTCATCAGGGTTCTGTTCCCAACTTGGTTTTTCTTTTCTTTTTTTTTTTTTTTTTTTTTGAGATGGAGTCTCACTCTGCCGCCCAGGCTGGAGTGCAGTAGCCAGATCTCAGATCACTGCAAGCTCCGCCTCCCGGGCTTACGCCATTCTTCTGCCTCAGCCTCCCAAGTAGCTGTGACTACAGGCGCCCGCCACCTCGCCCGGCTAGTTTTCTGTATTTTTTTTTTTTTAGTAGAGACAGGATTTCACCGTGTTAGCCAGGATGGTCTCGATCTCCTGACCTCGTGATCCGCCCTTCTCGGCCTCCCAAAGTGCTGGGATTACAGGCTTGAGCCACCGCGCCCAGCCGAAACCAACTTGGTTTTTCAAAGTACAAAATGCTGCATGAGATACACAGCTTGTGGAATTTGGGTTATTTATCTTAAAATAGTGCATGCCACACCTAGTCGGCTGGGGGATGTTTTTCCAAACACACTAAACAAACCCCTTGCAGAGAAAGGGCGATGGTGCCCATGTGCCGGTGCCCAGAGAAGCCATCAGATTAGCAGGTGACACTGCTTCTCCTTGAGACGCAGGTGGCCATCAGTGCTCAGCCAGCACCCTTACTGATCAGCACCGTCTGCCTGGACTTCGCACAGAACTGAGCTGCAGAGACAGACACTTTGGTTCACGTCCCAGCTCTGCCACTGACACCTTGAGAAGACTATGTAACCTGCCTGTGCCTCAGTTTCCTTACCATGAAGGATGATGGCAGCACTGAGATATGAGGGTTCAGGCTCCAGCTCCAGCACCTGCTCCCAACCCCTCTCACCATCACCCTCCTGCCACATCAAACGAGGGAGCTGACACCCATTCCTTAAGCGGTTCCTCCAGCTTTAACATCCACGGCTGCTGCCTTCCGACTTGCTACTTCCTCTCATCTGTGTTTCCTGCCTGCGAGCAGGCCCCCCAGCTGGAGGCCTCCTAAACCCAAACATTTATTCCCACCCCATGGGCCCACTCTGATACTGAAGCACAAGTGGGAGTAGTGTCCATTCGGGGGAAACCCAGGCCAAACCCCATCTGCCTGCAACCACCGTGGTGTGGGCATGAAGGGCACACCAAGAGCCAGGGACTCAAATGGGGCCCATGGAGACACAGCACTGGCATGACAAGGCCATGGCCGCCAAGCCACGGCGTGCAAAGCATCTGAGGTCCTGGGCCTACGCCCTGCCCATGGCTGCCTTGCCCCATCACACCCCAAATCCCTGTGCCATCTGTGCCTCACCTCTTCTGTGCCCATGTTTAAATCTTTTTGTTGCTGTTGCTCCTCTAGAATCTTCCTGGCAAACTCCTATTCATTCTTCAAAACCCAGCTGGTGCAGGCATCTCTGAATTCTGGGGGTAATCACACTCTTCTCAGCCCTGTCTTCTTCCTGCAGTCCTCACAATCATTCATGACCACTTCTCCCATTTCCCCTCGGGCTCCTACCCGGCCCCGAGAGGGCACACAGTTTACAGACTGGACGTGACGCTTTTGGCCTGTAAACCCTCAAATGCAGCCTTAAAGAAGGAAGATAAATGCAAGCAAATGCAAAGGCTGAGGAGGGGCCTCTGGTAGATGAGGAGGGAGCATCGGGCTGGGAGTCAAAGATACCGGGCTACAGAGGAAGGAAGCTGCCACAGAACACGCCACTGACGCCACACAGAGCACCGACAGCCATGCTCAAGCCCGTTCTTATCCCACGGACAAATGGGGCCAGCAGATGTTTCAGACTGAGGAGGGGGTTATCACATCAATATGGAGCAGGATGACCTGGGGGAGCAGGGCTCATCTGGGAGCCCCCAGAAAGAAAATGCAGAGGTTGCCCTGAGGGCCGAACGTACACAGCCCCTCTGGGACAAGAGAGCTGCAGGACACTCACTGAGTCCACACTGCAGGGTGTGCTGACGAAGCTGTTCAGGAGACATAGGGAAAGAGTTCCTCCCTGACCTCTGCCTCCTCTGGGAAGAACCAGCCCTGCATCCTGAGCCAGAGAATGCCTGGCCTGCCCAACCGTGCCCCGTCAGCCCCCACAGCACGCCACACTGCAAAACCACCGTCACCTGCCATGGGCCGTGGGCTGCCACCTGCCGCATGTTCCTGAGGCTAAGCATACAGCCGGTTTGACCTGGAGCAGAGGGACAGAGGTACAGCCTCCCAGGAACCCGGGAGTCAGCGGTTGTTCATTCTCCCTCCATTCAACAACCGTGGGCGGGGCTCAGGCTCCTGGCTTTCTGCGTGTCATGGTGCCCAGCAGATGACCCTCCCTGCAGGGTGTGTGTGGCATCCTGCCTCCTTCCCTTGGCTCAGCCTCTCCCCCAGCCCACCCAGGTAAAAGGTTCGCAGGGAAAGGCAGAACACTCCAGCAACTCTCAGATAATCCCCACAATTGGCCGGGCGCGGTGG